GCGGGGGCCGGGGGGGAGAAGCGGGTTCGTCTGCAGTTTGGCAGCAGGACAGTCCCGTTGTCCCCCCCCCTCCATGGCAGCCGGGCGCTCCCTCCCCGCGACCGTTCACTAAGGGCCGGGCACGGCGGAGCTCTCGGGGCTGCTGGGGCTCCCGGCGGAATTAAAATGCAGCTGACCGCCTACTTCTTCTGGGGCTGCGGCGTCTTCCTAGCTTCGGGATACAACTCCTTCAGTAAGAGCATGGAGGCGATAGGCAAGAAGCAGTACCAGGTCCAGCACGGGGCGTGCAGCTACACCTTCCTCCTGCCCGAGACCGAGAACTGCCGCCCCGCCGCCTCCTTCGTGTCCAACGCGGTGCAGAGGGATGCGCCCCTGGACTACGACGACTCGGTTCAGAGGCTGCAGCTGCTCGAGAACATCATGGAGAACAACACTCAGTGGCTGATGAAGGTAGGAGAATGCCGTTTCTATCCCCGAAATCTCGTTCGCGACATCCCGTCATCAACTTCATTCCGTTGTTCTTTTTTTTTTAATTCTGACAGTTCCTAAACTCACAAAACGCGTCCTCTAGCTGAGCCAAATTTCCGAATTGCCTATCAACCAAAAAAAGTTGTTTTGCAGCCTGAGGACACGATTTTACTGACGAGAAAGGGACAGAGAACTGCACAGCTCGTGCTTTAAAGTTTGTCATTACATCTGAGCTGCTTGGACAAATAGTAATTACACACGCAGGCAGACTGCGAGCATGTCTGAAATTTCCGACGTGAAAGAACCAGCTACTAATTTTATAACTGACAGGGGCTATTTTAGCTCTGTTTAAAGACTGCAGAATGTACCTTTTTCTGAGGCATGTGGGAAAGATGTTATCTGAAAGAGGATTTCAAAACCTGCATGCAGAAATTAACGTACTAAGCCCCACTGGTAAAGAATTGTAATTCTAAGCAAAGACTGCCAGCCTGACTTGTACTGAAATTAGCCTAGTGAAGTGATAGAATTTCAAGAAAGTTCATTAGCGGATATCCTTTGCATCCTGTAACATTTCCACTCAAACATACAATATTCGAGGGAAAAATATTCTGGAAAAGGTGTTGCAGATGCCACGTAGCTTCCTTTAATGCAACTCCACTGCAACTAAGGGAAAATGACATGTTTATTGCCAAAGTGGCAACATTTGTAAAGTTAGACCTGAAACAGCAGAAAAAAATTTCATACCGCATATATTCTTCATATCACTGGGGAATAAACCTGATCACTAGTCCACATTTTTATAGAAACTCATTTGATTCTAAATGCTATACAGTTCAATGGATTTTGATTTAATCAACCTTTATTTCACGGGTACCTGAAAAAGTGTGATAGTATAGTTTAATTGCATAGCAAATTTACGAGTGTTTATGTTTCATACCAAGATGCCTATCTTCCTAGCAATAAATATTTTGAGGATGTAACTGAGCTGTTGACACAGTATCTCCAAGTAAGTGTTCCAGTGATGTCATAAGGTTTTTTTTTCATAAAGAAAGACGTATTTGTGGCGAACAGAGAGAATTCACAATTCTCTACAATGAGTAGCCACGTCTTACACGACTATAAAATAATTTTGCATGAGGGCTCACTTCTCTCATCGCCTACAAAGTTACAGAACTAGCATGATACAACCAAAGAAACCTGCCAGGGAATTTGTGTAAGAAAGAGAAGTCACACTTCAAAGCAGAAAGCATAGTGTTTTCATCTACCTGAAAATGAACCTTGAAGCTTAAATCCAAAATGCATACACTTCAAGGCTGCCATGTGGGCCTCTAATCTGTCTTTATAGGTTTAGGATGCTTAATTTAGACAACCCAGTGTCAGTTCAGTACCTTTTGTTTTTTTAATCTCACAGGCAAACATCCTTCCCTCCACATACTTACTCACCTTTCTACTTAGTAATTTACAGTCCTCACTATTGTAATGTTAGGACCAACATTAACAGATGTGCAATGCAGGATGAAAAACACACAAAGCAAAACAGTCTAATCTACCCAGCTGCTAAGCAATTTCCTAACATAAATAGTAAAATCACACACAAGACTCCAGTGCTAAATGCCCCTTACGTAGGCAAACACAGTATCGTAAGTGGCATCAGGTAAACAGAAACCAGTAAGCAAATTCCAGCACCCTTATTTAGTAAAAACTATGCTTTTTCCTGTTAGTCCCTGGGAAATCAGTTACAAGAGGAATAGGATAAGTATATCTAACCCATTCTTTGGGGGATCAAAAGGCAGATTCTGTTTTACAAGACAGAGAAATGTTTCTCTTACTTGAGCAAAGAGTTCCAAATAAGATGCTTTAGATTAGCCTGATTTTTTTCTGGCTGTTCCACAGCTAAACATCCTGTAAAATATCTGCTGTTTGCCTTTTTCACTATTTTAACACCTGCTTTTTATGTCATCCGTTTTGTTCACAAAGAGACTCCAACAAAAGTAGCTTTTCCTCAGATTTGCTTTGCTAGAGACACCTGGTCTGCAAGTGAAGATGAAAAGCAAACAATAACCTTTAAAGTTGCTTACAGAGTTTACTTGCTGTTTTTTTAAGGTCACTAATACACATTCCAAGGTTCATATTTCAACTTAACCAAAATATAATGCTAGTCAAGGCAGGGCAAAATAAAATTGTTCACTTAAGTCTTTATACTGTATCGAAAGTGTAATATAAGATAAATTTTAAAAATAACCTGACATTAACGTCTCAGCAATTGGAGAAAAACCTGCTTTGGGTCTTGCTTTTTAAAAAGTTATTTTTGCTCATTTAAGAGGCAGCACCTGTTTTGTTTTGAAGTTGTGTAAAAAAAATACATTACAAACTTCTGGTGTGAATTATCCTTTAAACATTGCTCCTGAAGTTCTGCACATCCCAAAACATTTTTACACTCCTCCCCCCCCTCCTGCCTTTAATCCATCAACTAAAGGAAACATTCTGTTTCTGAATGAACGCTGGGCTGTATGAATGGAACAGCATGGGAAGTGTGCGCTTCATCTAGTTAATGGACAAACACAATAGGAAGAAAATGAGTTACGTAGGTCCAGGTTCTTTTTTGATCTGCTCCTGCATAGAGAGCAGCAGACTTTGTTCTACAATTGCTACAAATTGCTGCTTCATGAAAACACAGGTTTTTTGGTCTGAACTGCATTAATGCCTTATGCCACTACTGTATGTACCATACCTAAAACTGGAGAATGTCTCTTCAAAAGTAGATTATGTTTAAGCGTTCAGATGACATACCAGAACGAACCACTATTCCACCTAACCCAGTGTTTAGCAGGAAGCCAGTAAGCGATGCGGTAGAGCAAGGGCCAAAACCCTAGATCAACTGTGCAGCAATATACCTGAAATGAACTTTCTCCTTGGACTTTCCCTAGCTTGGTGTCAATTTGTACATTGAAGTGTGAGATTTTTTTCTAATGCAGTGTGTGGGCAGGGAGAAAAAAACCTCTCAATAATAAGATTTTCAATTAATTTGAGAGGATAGCAGATTGGTATACAGCTGAGATACAAGACTGGAAATTTTAAATGTAGACATGTATGCTGGCTGTTATACTTTGGAATTTTTTTATATAAAAACAACATCAGGTTTTCGGATATTCCTAGAAGACAGGCAATTCCCTTAAGTTCCACAGTTAAAGAAATCTCCATCTGAATTAGTGGCAGCTTTACCATTTGGATCACAGCATTTCTACTCAAGGAACTGCATTTTTTCAGGTATTAAGACATTGAAATAACTGAATGCTGACTTTAATTCACTTCTCGGTACATAAACTAGATCCTATGATTCAGGAGATACGACTGTATCCAAAGCAATAGTGTAAAAGAAGGGGGTCTTATTTTCTTAGTCTTTCCTGTTATAAACAGCTGAAAACAATGTATGATCAAATGCATTATAGCATATGGAATATAGGTAATTTATTTGTAGTTTATCAGCAGATCAAAAGACTAGGAAATAAAAGTCTGTGCCAGGAGTCAACATTTAAACCTAAGTCCAGAACTTCATCCTGAACCATCCCAGCAGACTAGGAGGGGGACACTTTGCTAATAGAAAGGCAGTATTTTTGGATACTCTGAACTGAGATTTGTTTTTCCTTGTCATGATATCCTGCAAGCTAAAAACCCTTTGTCGCTTTGAAACACATTTCTTCCCCAAGCACAACAAAATCAGAGTTTTAAGATGAATGGGAATGAATTCTTGTAATGTTTGATGAGTAATTACCAATGAGAGGTTGTAAGTATTGTCATACTTGTACTGAACTTCATATCTCAAATAAGAAAAGATATTCTGACATGCCGTCATCCAAAACCATCTGCATACAATGGACAAGGACAACTACATTGTACAGTGTTGGATTTTGAAGTACGCAAGAGATTATTCTGACTCTGAATCAAGAGCTGCATTCCTTTCCTAAGTAATGCATCTGTTTTCACTTATTGTGAAAAGTGCTTGTTTTTGTCTATCAACTATGTATTTGCAAAGCAAAAGAGTACTGGCAGGACCCAAAAGAAAATACTTTTTTACTTTCAGATTAGTACATGTTACCAGATAAAGTTTACACGCTGCTTTAAATGATATGACGATGCAGCTTATTGTTACATCTGCTGTAGGTGAATTTCTGTGGAGGGATTTGAAATGACACTTTTGCATGTGTTTAAAAACTATGTTGTAAAGACTATTCCTGCATCACTCCACAAATACCAAATTGGTGATACAGGTATGAAATTGTACAAAATCAACAAGGAAGAATAGAGATTTTCTAGGACAGATCTACAAGATCTGAAGTTGAGAGCTCGCCATCTCCAAGATGTTATCAGTAAAAAATGTGAGAAACAGAGGCTTGTTTTACTGAACCAGTCTCTTACTAGCATTCAAGATATATTTTCCTGTGCTCTCTTTGTTATCACTATGATCAGAAACTTACCGTCTTTGGTCCAAACAGCAAATTGGGAGACTTTCTCCATTAATTATTGACATCAAGTGCTTTATTTTCCTTCTTTTTTCTCTTTCTTCAAGTGCACATATAGGAAATGAGCCTGGAGATGCTTGAATTGACAGTTTCCAGTCCTTTTTGTTTGCATACCCACTTTACATATAAATCTTAACAGCATAACCTTTAGAATATCTTAGAAAATTTGCAGAGCAACTAAGGTTCAGAATGATGTTTCTTTTACAGACAGTTGTCTTCTCACTGCTCCTTTTTTTGTTGTTAATTATGAACAAATTCGATAACATGCAACTCCCCATAATTTACCGGGGGAAACAACTGATATAATTTGCTGGATTCCTAGTCACAAGAAACAAGATATGATGGTATGTATTGCTTAGAACGGAATTTTCCCTAGAAGACACAGATACCCATTTCCAACCTTCAAATTATGATATCTGGTATCTTCAGTGATTATCATACTGTCCTTTTCATACTATAGTA